ACTATCCTCGGAAACGTAAAATGATTGGCTAGAATCCAAAGTGTATGACAGCTCAGGGAAAAAAGCACCGAAATGTGCGCTGCTTTTCGGTCTGGTTACTACCGTTTATGACAGAACTGGTACCCATCCCTATTAGTAAGTGGATCATTTCTCTCCATTGACATAAATCACCTTTGAGGACACATTATTAACGGTATCTTCTATGTATATACGTCAAACAGCACCTACCTGCTCGTGTTGCAGACATAACTTGTTCTTCAATTTGTTAAACAAAAAGAATGAAAGATAAGTCATGCATTTTTACTTCCTTTGGAATTTAGAGCAGGATTCAAAGATAAATGTGCATCACTTTTGACTGATTTATTAGAAACCGATATGCCAAGTCACGATCATTGATTTGAGATGAGGTGTTGTGAGTCCAGGTGTGTCAAATGCATTGCACTGTCTTAATAAAACGTTGCCCTCTAACGTGTCTACATGTGTGTCTCTAACCCCAGGAGATGAGTTAGTCGTCAAAATACTTGAGGATCCATTAGTGCACCCCTCTGTAGCTCCTTGTACACCCTTCATTCCCACTCCCTCAACCCACCACCCACTCCTCACCATTTTGAGACCACCAAAGAGTCCCTGTCCAAGGCCACTGAGGCGGGGCTACCTTGCTTGTCGGACCGAGGCAGCGATGATTGTGATGATGATGGCTTGGTGATATCGGGGTATGGCTCTGGGAAAGCGTTCAAGTCTAAGCTGCCACCCTACTGATGATGAAGATTTTTACTCAACCTTCTTCTTGGTAACAGATAAGACCTTGTCCACGTCAGGCTTTCAAGGTGACTCCAAAGCAAATGCAACCAAGACTTTTATACGTAACAAACCTTCCATCTCCAGACGCAGTAGGACTACCACTATCGCCATAGCACGAACCGCCGACCAGAGCCGCACCACCACCACCTCTGCCTCCACCGCAACCCTCCAAACAGCCAGCTGGCAAAACGAATAACCGCGAGCTAAAACCCCGGCCCGACCTAGCGTTGCTTCCATTGCCCACATCCTTTGAGGTAGACAGCACCAAGCTGAGGGGCCCATTAATAACCTCCCCAATGTTCCGTAATATACCCACAGCACTTCCCACAGAGCCAGGCGTCAGGCGAGTTCCAGGGCCCTCGGAAGTGGTCCGCGAATCTAGCAGCACCACCGGGATGGTCATCGGAATAGTGGCGGCCGCTGCCCTGTGCATCCTCATCCTTCTATATGCCATGTATAAGTACAGGAACAGGGATGAAGGCTCCTACCAGGTGGACGAGAGCAGGAACTACATAACCAACTCGGCTGTGCAGAGCAATGGCGCTGTCATGAAGGACAAACAGCAGAGCTTGAAAGGCAGCAACAAGAGACAGAAAAACAAGGATAAGGAGTATTATGTGTGACTGTGAGACTTTCGTGAACACGAGAGAGCGAAGAAAGAGAGCACTAAGAGAACTTATCAGTTTCCTCGTGAGGAGCTATGACAAATGATGGTATAATATGGAACTTGAAAATTCTTATACTGTGCTGAGTAGTTGAACTGATGATATGTACTGTAACATAAAGCACACTTACTATTAAGCAAAAGCTTAATGACAAGGTTAAATAGCAACTTTAGAGACCTTCCTCTTCTATCTGGTCAGAGACATTATCGGTAGAGAAATACTTCACAGCATCATTCTCCTAAGTGACTTTTAGAGCTACGTGATCCTTGGCATTAAACAATTTTTTGTGAAATTGTTAATTACAAAAGGCTCATAAAATTACACCTTTTCAGCATGTAAACAACATAGTGCTTAACAAGAGGGGGTCAGGCACACAATGGTTGTAAAAATAAAGGACTCTTGTATCAAAATATTACCAATTTTTATGGTTTATAAATAAGTGCTGTGTCTTAACTATTTTTGCTCCAGGCTAATGAGAAACCAACAAAAGAACAGCAAGAAAAGAAAATGATTTCTGTGTATAAACTAATGGAGAGGGCATACCTCATAACACAATTATTCTCATTGTCTGGCTGACACAGTGAAGCTTTGTGGAGAGAGCTCGCCAGTTCTCTCGGTAAGAAACACGTGATTGTAAAATGCATGCCATCCCGACTCATATGGTATAGCACAAGTCCAGTATGCAGTGTTCGACTTGGACCACGTTCTCTTTAATGCACAAGCCAAAACGTCATCATTAGATTGGGACTTGCCCTGAGCCCCTGAAAACTGCTGAAAAACCTGCAAAAGAAAAAGGTCTAATATCGACGCATAGCTAGTGGTGGTCTTCTCTCTTTGCAAAATTGTGTGTTGGTTCATTGCGTATCATTCTCTTTTTTATGGAGGTGTCAGGAAGAAGACAAATGCAGTACTACAACACTGTTAACAAATGTGTATACAGAAATAAATCTAATGTTGAAAGTGTGAATTCTATCTGCTATCGCAGTCAACTGTGTCAAAAAAGAAGAAATTTGTTTACATATTTTATTACATGCTATCTGTTGTACTTTGTAGGTAGTAAATTGTACATATACCATGACAGTTGTAATTTTTAGTACCACTATTGTACAGACTAAACACATGGTTTATCAACAGATTTCATGAGAAATTTATTAACTGTTATTAATTTACATGGAGAAAGACTCTAACGAGAATGTGAAGAATCATATTGCTATTCATAAAGAATAAAATGTATTGTTAGCCTAGAAATCTAAAAAGAGATGTTTCTAAAGTTGCATGAATATTTAATTACTGTCCGACAAATACAACGTGCCCTTTCTTCTGTACCATGACTTTCTTGTTCTGGGTGACAGCACTGATTTGTTTAGTTTCATTTTACGTTTTTTGGAGAGAACAACATCAGATTTATGACAAAGAGACAACAAAAGAACGGGCCTTCAAAGTTCTGTGGGACCATAAATCATTGCTTAATTGTCCTTTTATGTTTCCATTACCTGTCATCGTCATTAAGTCACCAGGTGCCGTCTTTTTCTTAGAAATCACATTTTTGTCACAATTGTTACTTTTCATAACCTTTTTCCATCAGTTTGATAACAAATAAAACTTTTTTTCTTCAGACGTTATACTGTACTCGTTGGGTAAATATGGTTAGTCTTCACTAAAATACTAAACCGTTTTGACATTTAACACAAATCTCATCACAGAATCAGGCATACTATTTCTCAGAGGAAAACAGTTTAAAAAAACTATAAAAACTTTTAGCTTTTCTCCTCAAATGAAAGCTGAAGGCTCTGCCTCTACTTTTAAATGTCTTACGAACCACAAGTAAACTGTTCTGTGGGGCTAATACAGTGCTATTCCTCTTAGACAAGGCCTCGTATGGATGATGTACACTCTCTCTTTCTAGTCCCTGTCAGGACTCTTGCTGCAGCATTTTGGATTAGCTGAAGGCTTTTCAG